AATTTAATCATTAATGGATATAATTGTTCAATTAAAATAAAATATATGTCGTGGGCAAGAACCATATAAACATTTTGCAATTATGCATTTGTTATGTCATAATGTGGATTAACCTGTACTGTGTACTTAAATCATAAAAATATTTATTAATTGCAATAAAATTAATAATTTTAAATACACGAACATTAAGAAATAAAAAGTTTTAGTTACTTAAATATAATCAAAATAATTTAAATTAAAAATAAAAATTTATTATATTGAAGTAAAAATTTAAACACATAATAATGTATTAAATAATAATAATTAGTATTAATTAAAATTTTTAGTTTATTATTTTGTCTGCTGTGTTTTTATTTTGTTTTTACTTAATTCCTCTTTGCTAATAGAATTAAATAACAAATTTAATTAAAAAGTTCTAGATCAGAGTTCCAACTAACGTATAGTGCAGCAATAAATTAAATGCTGGTAGTAAATCAGTAAATCACTCGCATAATTCCTTCCAGCCTGGTGGCCGGCGGTGCTCAAGAGGCAAACGAAGGAAGGAGGCTCGGCCGGATTATGCGCGGCCGGCGGAGTAAATGCAATTCCGATTGTTATTGTTTCCTGGCGGAATTCCGTGACTGTTAAATTAAATCGAGTCCCTCGGCTGTGTGCGGGTTGCGCCGCAAAGAACTGCCGGCATTTGTAATGGAAATCTGCCCGGCTCTGTTGGGAGCTCACAAAGAACCTTTGCCTGCCAAGCAGAGAGGCAAGACAGGCTCTCCTTGCAAAACACCTCTAAATTTTCACGTTGAAATTAATTTATACGCAAGTAGTGCTGGCTTCGGCGCTTCTAATTCACTTAAGCCTTGCCGAGCTGCGGCCGCACTCGCGTCGAGCCGAATTATGAATGTGTCTCGCGCGCACCGATAGGTTTTGCACACGCGGCAATTATTTATGTACACCCGCGAGGCGCAAGTTAAATTATTTGAGCTGGGCGGAGCCTAAAAATAGAGCGTCGCGTTTAATAATCGAAAGCGGAGAGGCTTCCACGTCGATTGGGATGCGAATCAAAACTCGCTGGCACGGAAAGAACGAGAGAGAAATAATGAAATTTCCCACTGATGGAAAAGTCAAATAACGGGGACGTAAGTCAATTACGCTCTTGCCAAAAGAGGGAAAGTTTTTTTATAACAAAATCCATATTTTGTTTGAAAAATACGGTGAGGCCAACATTTACAAAGTTTCGTTACAAATAATGGTGATCAAATCGGAGTTGAACTTTTAATTTGACTTTTAGTCCTTTTAAGAAAATTGATTAAAAATAACGTCATTCCCATTAATAAGGTTTAAACTAAAAGTATGTTTTCTCTCTTTTTTTTTTTTTTTTTTTTTTTTTTAATATTGGAACTTTTTCTTCTTCAGAATTTCAAATTTACAAATTTAATTTCAGAAAAATAAAATTGACTTTAATAATCTTTTCAATATGTTTAAAATCAGTGCTGTCATAAGCTTTAGAGCAAATTAAGAAATTGTCCTTTTTAATTTTACATTAATTCTTCTGATAATTTCCAGGAAAAGATTACTTTTTCTCAATTTAAGGAAACTTTTCCATACTCTAAAAATTTTAGCTTTTAACGATGTTTTTCATATCTAATAAGCAAAAAAATTAGTTACTTTTTTAATAGAGTGCTTAAAAATAATTATTGATCCTTTTAAAAATGAAATCCGAGACCTAAACAATATGATAATAATTTGAAGCTCCAGGCCTAAACCCTTTCATTCTTTCAAAATTCAAGCATCATTAGAAGCGACGTTGCCGGCACATCAAAAACACGCTTTTGCTTTCACTTTTTGATGTTTTGAAGCGAGCAGCTTACGTTCGAAAATTTCAAAATTCGGAAATAATAAAAAGCTGAAGAGGCAGCGGGTCGTGAAAATTGAAGCGAGCGAACGAATATCGGCCCGAGGCATCGTTTTAATAAAACTGCCGGGGAATGCAAAAATTAGTTGTCGACTGCGGCCGTTCCGCTTAACGGCCCTTTTAACGAAATTCGCCAGCCTTTGGAGGGAATGAAAGGGCTGGCGAAAGCCGGCAGCCTATTTTGTTATTAGTATTTTTATGTGCGTTCGCCCGCCGAATGAAAGGCAAGCAACGTACTCGAGAGTGCCGCGCCCCATTAGCATAGAAAGACCGGGTCTAATTATTCTGGCCGCTCCGCTGCATTCGGCCCCAAACGTCGCGTGTGATTTTCCACTCTCTTTGCGACGACCGGCGATGGATGCTTTTTAATTAAGGAAATCCTAATTGAGTGAAAATTTTTTAAATTGAGTCTGTCGTCGCAGAGGCCGGATTAATCTCGCGCGCCGCTGGCAAAAGGGCTTAAAATTTAATACTCCCTATTTGTTTGCCTCCAACTAAATTAACATAGAGAGATAAAAAGTCTCATGTTTCTTTTGCTACTTAATTTACTAGAAGTTACTCAAAAAAGAAAAAAACTTTGTTCATTTTAAAGTAGATTTAATAAAAATCGATAAAAATAATATTTATTTTGAGTTAAATTTATTTACTTTTCCATTTCTGTATGACTTGTTGCGAGAGAATAAATGAAATGGAAATTTTTGGTAGATTAAAAAAAAGTTAAATTAAAATAAAAACTGAAGCTCTTTTCCATCGATTTTAATATTTTCCGAGAAAATCGTTTTTCAACAAACAAATGTAGGGCTTTGAACTTTCTCAGTTTCTCAGTTTACATTTCAAGTTGACTAATTGAAAAATGGATTTCAAAATTTGTAACAATTCCATTATCTTATTAATAATGAAGGCCTGAGGTAAATTTCATGAAAATTCGTTAACGGGCAAACCTCGTATGAATTTAAAATTTTTTTTTTTTTTTTTTATAAATTCCTCCCGGCCTATGAGTTGTTTTAGTTGTACAAAAAAAACCTATATTTTAAAATTACCAGCAAACCTCAGGTAGCCTTTTAGGTCGGTTGTGTATATTTTTCATTTTTTAAACTCATGTTTTCAATTTGTCATTATCAAATTATCATTTTAGTTCAAAATAAATTGATTTTATAGGTAATTAGCATTTAATCAACACCATTGGCTGCAGACCTTTAAGCAAGCAGATGAATAAACTTTGATTAACTTTATATTATTATAAAACTTTACAGGTAATTTATTTTAATATTTTGTTACATTTTCTATTAATTTTTGTGTTGATTTAGTTTTCAAATTCATGCCTTTAAATCAAAAGTTTTAAAACAATAAGGAAATAAAATATTTAAATAAATTAAAATATTAATTATAAAATATTCTTTCTAAATAACTAAAATAATTGTAATTTAAGATATAAATTATATTTATGTTTGGTTTAAATTAAATTTCCAATTTCAATTCGCTGCAAATTGTCTGTGAAAATAAGAAAAATAGAGCGAACAATAAGACGAGAATGAGTGACGCGATAACATCCGGAGCCGATTACAAGGCCGTGAACAGATTTGCCCGGCGAACAGCAGCTTTTCTCCGTTTCACCTCCAACAAATAATGGCGGCGGACGGAAGAGTTGGTCGTCGTCGTCGCCACGGCATTATATTATACGGGGAGTTAGGACGCTTTTCCTCATTGTGCGGAGAAAATTGGAGGTGCATTGAAGCAGTCGTGCCGACGGCGCATTGTTCCCTCGGCGCGGAAGGTCGATGATGAAATAAATGAAGAGCCGTGGCCGGCCGAGCGTTCGCCGCTGCAAATCCGGTTTAAAATCCCGGCAATTTACTCTAATTGCGCCGGGCGCGCGCTCACAACAGCCAGCAATAAAACAGAAAAACCGCCCTCTCGCCATAATTTACGGCTGCCATCATAAAAATGCGAAACTAAAAATACACACACAAGCAGGCGGGGGCGAATTAAAATGCCGAAAGTGTGCTCGTCCGTTGCGCAAATGTTTTTACCGAGAGCGTTTATGAAGATTAAAAATTCCCTCTCATCATCGCGATTATGTGCGCGGGAGTAAAACTTCCCCTCTCTGTTCTCTCGGCGAAATCATCGTAAAGTGTGATTCCTGTGTGAGACGCAAATTGTGACAAAAAAGCTTACACAGAGTAATTCTCTGAGCTTTAGAAATTGTTTGCTTTGAATTTGAAAAAGAAGTGAAAAAACAGGGGAGAAAGTTTGTTTCCAAACTTTTGTGATGGTCTTTTTGATTAATGTTCGTTTGTTAATTGTTGGACGAAAATTTAGCAAATGCAATGGAATTGAAATTCTAATAAATTACTTTTTTAAACTAGAGATATTTTAAACAACTAAATTGTATACGTAATTTTCTTTTGGATTATTAAAAATAAAATTATATACTTAAAAATCATAATTTATTTTAAATATTTATTGGATAAAAAATATTTAAATCATAATTTAATTTATTTTTTATTTAATATTCCGAATTTAGTTGCACAAAATGCAATCTTTTGATAAAAATTTTTATTATGAACATTTTTTTATATATAAATTACTCTTGAGTTTGCAACGAATTCCTAAGTGATATAAATGGAATAAATTTTCCTATTGAATTTCAGTTGTGGTAGTTGGGAAGAATAATATAAGATTACCAAATTTTAATATGATATAAATATATTATAAAAGTAAGCAAACGGGTATAAATTAGTCATTTTAAATGCTTTTTAAATTACGGTTAATTACGTTAGGGGAAGTAAAATTCTTATTATTATGAACATAAATTACATTTTTGAAATTATTCAGTTGCATAAATTATTTGAAATAATTTCTTTTACTTTTCCTCTTCAACGAAAAAACAGTCTCAATTAAAGAGCCTCCTTGGAGACCAGTCGGATCGAAACGCTCTCACAGGAATGTCTTAATTAGTGTCTCCCTTTGACCGGTCATCCGTTAAAAATCACGACGCCATTTTGGAAATCATCATAGCGGACAAAATATTGACAGTGTCCCCATCCGGAGGGAGCTCGTTAGCGTTTCAAGGGCGAAATACGAAAAATGGACTCACCTCTGACGACCAGTTTGACTGGGTTGGACGTGAGGGCGTCCTGCGAGGCGAAGTCCGAGGCGGTCACCTGACATTCCCACTCGCCGTCGTCGAACTCGATCGTGGCACTGCGGATCCAGATGCTGCAGTCGCCGCCGGGAGGGGGCATCGGACCCCCGGGGCCCATCGCAGCCCCGCCGGCTGCCCACTCGTACTTCTTAGGGTACATTCCGACGGGCTGAAACAGACAATTTTCATTGTGGTTATTAAAAAAGCGGCACTAAATTTAAAAAAAAAATATACAAAATTATAAATTAAGTTGAAAATTTAATTAAATAAATAAATAACAATAGAAAATAAAAGATCTAAATAATATTAAATAATAAATAATGAGGATTGGAAGTAATTGAAATGAAAAAAAAAACATGTTAAAAGTATTGATATTGGATTCAATTAATGTTACTTTGAAAAAATTAATTTGCTCCTTAATAATTTTTTTTGAATAAAATTTTAAGTATATTTTAAAATATTTTCATTATAAACACAAATAAAATAAAGTCATACTTTTATTTTTTCCCTACAAATAATAAAAATAAATTTTGTTTGAATTATATTTTATATCATAACAGCAGTGATATCTCACGCAATTCATCAAGTTAAAATTCAACAGACGTGCAAAAAATAAATGAGCAAAACAAGAAAGAGTTGGTTATTTACTATTTACTTTGACCACGCAGCATTAATTTGCATCCCGCAGTCTGATTGCGAGACTTTTCTCTCCTTCTAATTCCTCGAGCAAACAAATTACGCCAACAACTTTCTCGCCGCCGCCGCCGAAATGGAAGTTGTTTATAAACTTTATTACGATTCCGCTTTTAATATGGTAAATGACAGAAGTTTCTTTTAATAAAATTCCGTCGGCTTTTTTCAGTTTATCTTGCTCCGACTTTTATTATTAAAGTTGGCAGTGGCAGTTGCTTAGTGGAGGAGGAGAGACTGGGAAGAGTTAGTCTTAACCAAATTACTTTGGAATCAGAATAATGCCTTCGTCTCTCGCGCCCCTTCCGATCTCCAGACAGAAAAAAGAAGAAGAAGAAAAATCCCTTCCTCGAATTCCGTTCTTATTTACGAACAAAATCTCCCGCAGACTTTTGATTTCATCGGAACGCCTGCGGTGCGGCGAATTATGCAACGTGCCTCGCAGGCGTGCCCATCACGGCTGCATAATTCAACTCGAGCGACCGTAGACATTTGCGGCCGGATCGCTGCTCCCACACAATATCCATCAGCTGAACTAGTCACATGCAAAATTGAATCTTTTGTCGGGTCTCGCGCGCGCAATATCGCCGGCCGTGTTTATTGTTCAAGTGCGTTAGACAGGCCTTTTGTGCCGGAAAACCGCCTTATTCGCGAGATTGCTGACTGCTTCTATTTCATGGCGGCTAGGCAAATACGCCGAGCAGAAGTGATCCGCACCGTGTTCACTGAACGTGAATATTTCGCAGCCACTCGCGATTCACGAGCACTGCACTCCGCCTTTGACAATAAGATGGAAATTCTGCTCTTGGCACTCTCAATGATTGCAAATTTTATTATACTCTTTGTGTGTGCGTTTTCTTTTAATGATATTGCTATGCACTTTTGATATCGCAAAGTAAACTATTCAAAGGATGTCTGGAAAATTACAAGATATCTGCTTGTTTCTTTTAAGGTTTTAGAAAAAAATTATAAATTTTAACAATATTAAATAATAATAAGCCATTTATATTTGTGTGGTACAATTTTTAATTGTTATATTTTTCCTATTTACATCATAATTTATAACATGCAAAATTTGAGAAGAAATTATCATTTTGATAATAAAAGATAAAAGTCTTGATTAAATATAACTATAAACAAAGTTAGATTGCAGAAACTCTTTCTTGCCTTATTATTAAATTTTATTTCATTAAATTATTGAATTTTCGTAATTTTTTATCAGTGTTTTTTATTTATTATTTGTAATTTTTAATGTAGGGTTGTGTCATGTTTGCGTAGTTGATTGTATTTCAGTTTCCAATTAAATTTTATAAAAGAAATTTTAACGTGTATTCATAAATTGAGCAAGAAAATTAAAGCTCAGAAAACGAATTAAAATGTCAAAATTTCAAATTTTAATTATAAGTTTTAATTCTTTTAAAACAGATTCGGATTTTTGCTTCCAAAAAATTAATTTTTCCATTCAAAACTCTAAAATTAAGACAAACGGCAACACACTGAACATGACTAGGATCATGATTTTTGCTTATTGAAAGCTCATCAGCAAGCCTTTTCAGTCATGTGTTGCCGTTTTTCTTATTAATTTTCGAGTATTGAGTGGAAAAAATAGCTTTTTGCAAACAGAAATCCACTTCTGTTTTGAAAGTATCAAAATTTTCAATTAAGAGTTAAAATTTAGACATTAGAATTCGTTTTCCAAGCATTGGTTTCCTCGCTCAGTTTCTAAATCCACGTAAAACTTTTTTTGAAAAAATATAGTATTCTTGTCACTTTTTCAAATTTAATTCCGATATAATTTTGATATTCCGTGTTTATTTTTTTTACATTTTTATTAAATAATGTAGCTACAGATTCTTCACTAAACTATAATTCACTATTTAGCTTCTAAACCATGCATATGATTGTGAGCAAAGGGACCAAAACTTTTCCCCAAACCTCCCCAAAAACCCTTTTGCGCCTGTTGAGAGAATTTCTCGTCTCAACTGCAACAACAAAGCTGCGGCAAGTTACTAGGAAGCAGCCAAGAAAAACTGTGTTATCATCTTGCATGATGGATTGCGGATTAAGACGGGGTAAAAAAGTGACAGCTGCCACGCCCACTGCCGCATGTGGAACACAACCCCTTCACTTCACACTCGACTAAGCAAATTGCAGGCCGGCCTCGTCCCATCTTCCTCGCTTCTCCTTTTTTTCCAGGCAAAAAAAATCATGCATGCAGAAATTTATTAATTTTTTACGCCACCTTGCAGTTTTATCGTCTCACCTCTCTCTAGGGCTGCTGAGTGTTCAAGTTTTTGCGGAGGCGCAACCGTGCCGCGGATTTATGGCATTTAATTAGCGCTGAGAGTATGATGATGTAAAACTCGTTAAAAAGTTTACTCCCGGGGTATTTTTATACGTTAAGTATTAAATATATATATTTTGAGAGAGAAGAAACTCGGCTCTCTTCGCAGCAAGGACCTTAAAATGTTGAAAATATTAAGAGGGAAGCTTTTTCTCTGGGCCTTTTTCCGAGCCAGCAGGTAAAGTAGTGCTGAAAAGGAAGTTATGGTAAAAAGAAGCAGGTTGTTTTGAGCTCTCTCGTCGGCTCTACTCGTCTCACTCATCATTTATTTCATGCTGTTCCTTTTGGCATGAAAATGAACTTAATATACGCGCGCGCATACTTTTAGTGGCGCGCGCCCTGAGGCCCCTCTTTCTCTCTGTTGGTGCGCGCAAAAGGTCACATCAAAAGAACAGCTCCGAGCTACACACACACATAAATATTTGAAAAAGACGACGGCCGCAATAACAATGATGCAATTTCAGCTCGACCCAATTGCACGACGAGTTGGCGCGCGCAGAAATTAGAGTAATGCATCCGTCTTCTTTATTCCGGGGTAATGAGAAAAGTTGCTTGCAGCGCCGGCTTAAAAGTCGTCCTTTGTAATAAGAGCGAGGGCTGGTGTCGCCGCCGCCGCCGCCGCCGAGCGAGAAATGATTCACGACGCAGATAAACAAACGGCCCCGACGCAAAAACTAGATTTTCCCGCTGGCTGCGCACAGTCGTACAAATGCGCGCCGTTATATTCTCAAATGCCCGGAATTATTCTGCGGGGATGCGTAAGCCGCCGCGGAATTAAATGATGCCAACGTGCACTCAACTTTATTATATATATATATTCCGTGTAAAATGTACTTGCGTACTTGGAATTTTAAACGTCTCGCCAACTGCTGTTCGCCAGATTGTTTTAAGCCATCGTAGTACATTGTCCTAGTTTTTATAATTTGTATTTAAAGTACGATAGTTCTAAGCTGCTTTAAAACAAAATAAAAAGTAGGTTTTTAACTCAATCCATTAAGCTCTTACAAAAAAAGAAAATAATTATGATGAAAAGGATTAAATATTTATATTACTCATTATCCATGATTCGCCATGATTATTTCAATTGTATGTTTCTCTTCCTTCTACTTAACTCTTTAGATTTAATAATTTTTTGGATCTTAACAAAAATTGCAATAATATCAATAAAACTAGAAGTTAAATTTACCATCTACATAATATCCTAATGAATATTAAAGTTAAAAGACTTTGTACACCAGCAGGCTTATTTTATTTATTGGTATAAAATACATAACTAAAATAACAAGTTTGTGGGAAAAATTATAAAAAGATAAATAAAGAAACTAAATTAAAAAAAATATTTAATATTATTGTTAAATACAAATTAAGAAGTTAAATTTAAAATTAAATATTAAATATTACTATATTCCGTAAATTTAAAAAAAAGTCAAATATAAAATATTTTTTATTTTTAATTACATCATAAGTTTGCTTGACAGAATCAGAAACTTAAAAACTTTAAATTTTGGAGGTAAAAAGTAAATTAATGATGTTATTAAATTTCATTATTGAAACATCGGAATGACCATGAGTGAATAATATAAAAAACCCAAATTATTAACATTCTAGATAGGAAGGAAAACTTCCCTGGCATTTGTAATGATACAAAAAAAAAATGAATTTAATTTGAGAAGAGGCTCCTCAACGTTTGCAAATTTACTAAATCCTACCATGAAATTAATCAAAATTGGTTCCACAAAAAGAACCTTAAAAATGATGCACACACGTTTGCATTAAATTTTAATATATAAATTTTCCCATTTTCATCAAATTATAATTTTTTCATCGCACCACACAACGGTGCGCTTTAAATTTTTATTGTCAACAAGTTCAGCCCTCTCGAAAAGCAATGAAAATATCATAAATTCCTCATTAAAATGAACGAGTGTCCGAAAAACAGCGGGGCCATTCATTAGTCGGACGTGAAGTGCAGCGCAGGGAGGAGTTTTCCGCTTCCTCAATAAAAATTAACGAGTGTGCCGCGCGCATGAATTTGAATAATTCTGTGATAAAAATACAAAAATTGTTGTCACAACGGCCGTGCATTTGAAATGAGTTTTGCAGCGTGAATCAAAAAACGCGAAGAGCGGCGCATTTTCGATGAGAGGTGCGGTTGCTTTTATATTTTTTCCCCGGCACCGAATTTTCAATTCCGAGCGTTCGCGTCGCGCGGCTCTTTTGAATGCAAAACGCCGCGATGAGAGTTGAAGCGGCACTCGGCAACGATTGCTACATTTTAATCGTTTTATTTTACACCAACTTTCGCACGCTCCACTATTTAATATCATTACTCTGCAATGCGCACATCGTGTGCCTGTGGCCTATCGTCTCTCTTCGGAGAGGACGCGTCGCTAATATGAATATTCCTTGGCTTAATGTAGCTGAAACAAAGGAAGACGCCCGCTTTTCGCTCGGCAAATTGCGAATTTTCAATTAAAGTCGTTCATAGAAGAACTAATATAAATTTCTGCGTTAATCACGAAGCTTATTATTTGAATTTCGTTCAAATGATACGAAAGTAATATTTTTATGAATTCTTTAATAATCGAAAAGTGATTTCAGCTTAGAAAATTGTCTGGCGTTATATTAATAAATAATTACTTATCAATAGGAAGATTTCATTTTTTTATAACTCAATCCTTTTCAAAAATTCGTTTTATTTAACAAGCTTCGTGAATACAAATTTCACTTTTAAAATTAATGGTACCTCACGTATATGAATGTGAATTAATTTATCAATTATCATAAATTAAAAAATAATAGATAAAGAAAAAAAAAAGTCAAAATTAGAAAGAGGTTCAACGCACGCATGAAACGATATGATGCATTCATAAGTGGAAAACACTAATACATTACTGTAGATTGTTCCCACAATTTTTTTTATTTTTATAACGATTGATATAGATAATTGAAAGCGACCTTAATATATGTCAACAAAAAAGCTTTTATTAAAATTAAGTGAAATAACATAAAATAAAATTACATTACATAATAGAAAAATAAAATTAATTCAATATTATATCAAATAATACAACTAAAAACTATTTTTTTTTTATTTTCTTTGTGTCAAAAAGCAACTAACCTTTTTAAATTATTAACACTTTAATTTCAATTCATGTTTAATATCACGGAGAATTCTCTGTCCAAATACATCATCCATATATAATGTAGTTCTATAATTATTTAATTGGTTTCAAAAGAGTGAAATTACAATTTTATTCACTATTGCGTACTTAAACGTTTAATGTATTATGGGTTGATGGGTCAATAAACTTTGAAATTTTTACCACCAGATGTATTGAAATAATGAACTATAGTTAAAAATATAATTTATAAAATATCTCTTGAAAAATACATGCCTGCTGAGTGAGTTTCTGACTAACCATCTCTCTCTGTTTATTTTTGTGTGCGGAAAAATAATTCCGTCTGGTCCTCCGAGTGCACGACGCGGAAGAGTTTGTTATTTCAAAAATTGGAGTCGTCTCGTCTGAGATGACGAGCGGCTCGGAAAGACGGCCTTTGTGGGCGAAATTTATCGGCGAAATTATATTCCGGGCGTGCAGCCGGCGGTTTTCGCTGATGAAATTCGAGCACGCGAGTGTCTCGTTACAGGCGGCGCTGCAGCCAAGCACTTTTCTCTGTTGTGCACCGACCACGCGCGCACTTGTCGAGCATGAATTTTAATGAATCGCCCGCTGCTCTGATGGATTTCCCTCTCGGTCGGGGGCGCCGAATTAATTAATCCCCCGTTTTTTTCCTATTCTCTGTTTCGGGCCGCACAATCGAGTTTTTATCGGCCGACGCGCGTAATTGAATTTCAAATTCGCTGCTTGTTTGTGCGGAGCAAAGTGAATTAAGAGGCACCATTTTCGACGTTGGCAAAAAACAGCTGGTTAAAGAAAATGGGATTTTGTTTATGGCTGGTGAGTGCGTCTCTTGACAATACCAAACGGAGGTTTCTCGAGCAGAAAAATGTCAACTTATGTCAAGGATAGAATGGGATTTTCTAAAAGTAATTATTTTCCCGCAATGAAAGTTCATTTTTTTTTAAATTTAAATTTTTTTGGTGAAATTTTGATTGATACACGTTTTATTCATGTGTAGAAATTAAATATGAGTATAATTTTCCTGAAAATAAAATATAAATTTAAAAATTCCCGGACTAAGAAAAGCAAATCCAATGATGTGAAAATTAATTACTATTAAAATCCATTATCTTTCACAAAAATCTTGTGGATTTAGTCAATATTTATCATTATCATATTTGTAAAAAAAAGAAACTACAAAGTTTAATTTCCAAATAAAAACAAATCAACTATAAATTGTTAATTTTTTTTCTTCAGTAAAATATACGTATTTATAGCAGAAAGACGCAATTTTCAAAGATCGATCTGAAGCCGATTAAGAAAAAAAAACTGTTTTCACCAATCTTAAATTTATTTTTGATCCAGCAAAATTTCATATTGGAAAATATAATAAGACGTGCAAAGTTTCGGCTCTACTTTAATTTTTTTTGCAACTTTGTCAACCCGACATCTTGTTAAGTTTTTTTACCTTTTATTTTCTCTTCTAATTTTCCAATAAGGAAAATGTTTGTAAATATAAAATTAAAATATAAATAATATAGAGTTGGGAGAAAACTCACCTTTCCATCTTTCTGCCACGAGCAGTGACCTTTCTTGTGGTGCACGGTGCACGAAAGTTTGGCATCCTCGCCGGGGTTGACCTCGGTGTATTGTGGTTGCCTGTCAAAGCGTTGGACCGGTGCCGAGCTAGCGCCTGCAACAAAGCAACAAATTGGCAAAATTAAGTAATGGGAACTCTACGAGGAAAAAGAACTTGCAGAGAAAAAGCAAGTTAGACCAGTAATAGATCTGCCAATTCTTTTTTACGTACACTCGATAAAAAGGGCATTAAATTTATTTCCTTAAGATTCTCATTAATTTCTATGCTCTAATTCGGTGTTACTTTCAAAATTTGATTAATTGTGATCGGCACGTAATTTAGGATTTGAATCTTGAATCAGAGCGGCTAAGCAGTCAAATTTTCTATAATTTTTTGAAATAAAATTCACTTCTGTACATCAAGCTGAACATAAATTAATATTTTATTTGAATAAGAAAATAATTTATCATTCAAATAAAAATCAATCTACAATCTCAATGCTTACAAATCCAGCTTTTTTTTTAAATAAAAAACGTAATTATATTTTAAAATTAAAATTTTAAATAAAAAAAAATGGAATAAGGCAGTTAATTATAAATTTATAAAAAATAAATTGAATAAATTTAATATTTTAAAAATTATAAACTTTTTAAAAATAATCTTTCTAGCTGAATCGTGCAAAATATTTATTTAAAGCACTAAACAGAAACAATTGATTATGGAACGTATTTGAATTAATTATTGCAGATTCGTCCGGCACTGAGGCAAATTAATATTCATCCATTGGTGGTATTTAATTTTCTACTCGGCTCTTCGGCAAAGAGAAAAGCCCGTGGGGTTTGCACAAGTCCAAAGCTGCCCGAGCAAGACGGCATGCACGCCTGGAGAGTAATCATTGTGTGAAGGAACACACACTACTTCTTAATCAAGTCTGCGCCTTAACTCGATTTCATGTAGATGGTGGCTGTGCAATTACCGCTATGTGCACGGCGAGGGAATTCGCCCGGCCGGCTCAGAACCTTCCTTGAATGGCAATAATCGCATTAGCAGACGCGAATGCATTATTCAATCCTAAATAACACTCCTACAAGTTTCAATCTTGCAACGCAACAGCGCGCAAACGCTCGACAAACACTAATTAAGAAAGCAGAGTTTTGAAGTTAACTTTTCTTGCATGAAGAAAAAAAGAGAATTATAATTTTTGAAAATAAATAAATCTAAATAAGGTTACCTTTTTCAGAAAGAAATATTAATTAGTTGACTTTGAAAATTTACAGACTCAAACCAAATATTTTTAATTCTTATTGTGCAATTTATTGCTACAACAATTCACAATTTAAAACCTCATAATTTTTGTTATAAAAAAATTAGTTGATTGAAGTTGAAAGTAAAAAAATTAAATTCAACACAATAATTTTCTAAAAAAAAAACTGATAAAGTATAAAATCATTATCATTAATTGAGAAGTTTACACAATTTTAATCTTAAATATTTCCATAAAATTCCTAAAGTTTAGTTGACAGATTGCATTTTATAGAAATATTAACAGCAACAAAAACTATTTCGAAGAGTTTCTTTCAACAGGTGCTCTAAATATTAAACTTTTTTCTTCTTGAAATTTAATTTTTATATTTCAAGCTCAAATAAAACAATGACTCAAAATAGTAAAATCAAATTTTGAAAATTTAAAACAATTTCTTCAACGAACAATTTTTTATTCATTTTAATTTATTTTTTTTTTGCAAAAAATTAGGGTAAAAATGTACGGTAAAAAGGATGTAAATATGATTTCCTAAAGGTTTCAGGTTCTCTCTTTTTACCTCTGCACCACCAAAACATCACGAGAGGGGCTGAAAGGATTTGGCAAAAAGAGATGTGAGCAAAAAATTTCGCATGTTCTGCTCGAGCGATCCGCCACCATTTAGGCGATGCCGGCTTCCTTTTACAAGGAAATGTAAATTAATTTTGCGCCTCCTTTTGCCAGAGCGAGTGACGTACGTGTTTCTGAAAAATTCTCTCTTTTGAAATTCGCCGAGCGTAATGTGGCCAATGCAGATGTGTGCCTATAAAATGTAATTAAAGGAGCATTTTACGAGCCGGCATGTGTGTCGGTGGAAAAGTGTCGCGTTTGATAAAGTGCGCGTTTTACACTTTTTTCATCTGCGGCATTTAAATTTTAAAACACGAGAAGTATTTCAACTACTTTTGTTTTATTGCGACGCTCAAACGAGCCGTTTCGGCGCGATGACAAGACATTCGCCGACCGCAAAAGTGCCTGTTATTAAATATACGCCCACGAAATGTGCGGCTGGGGAGGCATAAATCACCTGCTTTCCCGTTTTTATACAAATATAGCACAAACCGCAGCTCACGTTTTATGCAAATTGTGACGAAATAAAATAAATTCGTCGGGCAAAAATCGATTTATTTGCAAAGCTGTGCAATTAGTACGTGGTCTACGGGGGATGCAACGCAAACAATTTGCCAATTCGGATCACAGAGACTGTTTGTGCCTGTTTGCTCTGCAGAAACAGCGCAATTCATTGGTATGGAAATGATTATTTATTCATTGCAGGTGATCAAGATACTTATTCAGAAATTCTATCAGAGCAACAGCCGAAATTAATTATGTTTGCAAAATTATGTGACTTTAAACAATCTCTAATCTTCGTGAGATTTATTTGACAACTGGCAAATTCAATATAAAATTTCGTTTTATGTATTAATTTAATTTGTTAATATTGTAATAACTCATAAGTAGGTTTCAAGGAATTCAAGGAATTAGTTTGCTTGTAATAAAATTGCTGCATTAGTCTACAGGTTTGGGTTTAAATTATATAAATAAACATATTTATCAGTAATGACAATGTCAAAAATTAAGAAATGAATTTAAGTTACAAATTTATTTAACTGTCAATAAAAAAAATATTATTTAAAATGTTTAAAATGATCCATTAAAAAAAATATATTAATGATAATAAGGGAACAAAGATTATAACTTTTGTTTTTATTTAAATTTTTTAATTTGACTTACTCAATATTTTACTTTTTCTCACAATCATAAAAGTTTTTCGATTCACCTGAAGAATCGTGTCATCACAGTCTATTCTTAGCCGGCTCACGGTTTAATCAACTCTCCGCGTTAACCCGTTTTCGGCAGTGAATTTTCACCGTCTCATAATTAACTCAGGACCCTGTTAAACCGCGTGTTACACACACGTCGACGTAAGACAACTTCATACATTGAAGGCTTATCAAACGCCTTCCTAATTCTCGTCGGCTGCACTCGTTATTATTTGCTCGCGCACAATAGAGAGATTATTACACCTTTAGAAATAATAATTGCTCTCCCCGCCCGCCGCACAATGGGCACCGTGAGATGCTTATCGGTCCGACTTTTCTGCCACAAGACATGAAACTCGATTGCAGATTAAATCCCGGCAGAAAAAAGGAGTAACAAGGGGTGCCGGTTATGGGATTTTTGCCCGGCAATCGCCCTCCTCCATCTCGCTGGACGCGATATTTCGTGAAATATGACTTGTGTAACCTCTAATTAAAGGGCTGCGGGGATTAGAAAACGTGGTCGGGTCGCACTCAATTTTGCTCCATTTTTGTGCTGAGTTGCAGTAAAAGTATAAAACGGGCGTGTGTGTGACCAACAACACTTTCCGCCGAAAGAGCCAATTTTCTAATCACAAAAACTTGCGGGCTATTTTTAGAACCATTATAATAAAAAATAATGTGTGTCCAATTTTGAATATTACTGTAAATTACGTCAGGTTCCAAACATAGAGAGAAGAGAAATTAATAAAATTATCAAAAATGTAGTTCCAAAGGCAAATTTGTTGAAGGAAAGATTTAACCAAAAATTGGCCCGATCAATTTTGATGGTAATTTTACTCTACATCAGCATTGGTTTGTTAAAGTATCAGTTCCAGAAGACATAAAATTTAATTTATTGGGACAATTGAATTTTCGAAATTTAACATTGTTTCTTATGGGCCTGATCAAAATAGGTAAAAATTTCAGGAAAAACGTTCATATCTCCCCAATTTAGATTGAAAAAGAAAATCATTAGGTCAGTCAACATAAAAATTTTACATTGATCTTGTGGGAAAAGGTTGAGAAGTTTTATTTACAGTGTAATTATTAAGCTCCTTGTTAAACGTTTAGAGATTTTATTAAATTGTTTATAATTCCTCGAATATATTATTGTTTTAAGCGTTTTTTTACATGATTTTACTGAAACTGTGCGAGAAAAACTTGACTTTTCAGGATGGAATACACAAAAATGTTGACTTATAACTATTTTGAGAAATTAAATTCAAAAATTTGTCTTTTGGCGTAAAAAACAAAAAACTCAATTAAAACCCGGAAAATAAGTGCAAACAGAGCAACATAACTAACCAGTTTCAGTTTAAAACCACTTAAAAACCTCTTAAACTTTAAACCCCAAAACTTTACACTTAAAAACGCAAAAAAAAGACACAACTCTACATTAATGAGAACAGAAAAAAAACTCGCACAATAACAACTATGTGAAGAAAAATCCATTAATTTAAAACGATCTCCTTTACTTCAATATTCATAATTTTGCTTGAAGATTTCAATTTAATCTTTTCTGGTATTATTTCCAAACAGTTCAAATATCAAAATATAAATTATAAAAAGTATTAACAATAAAATCTTTCGTTGCAAGTTCAAAACAGATCAGCACCACAAAATTAAGTAATTTCTAAATTTAAGGCTTTACAAAATCCAGACTTATGACACCGTTTAGAATCCTGATAAACCGTCGCGCAGTTTAATCTGGAAAGTACGCGTGCAAAGCCACCACTTTTTGCAATCAAGCGTCCGGGACAAATTGGTAGACCGCAATAAGAAGCCGGCGGCGGCGGCGACGAGGCAGGCGAGAAAAAATTAGGGCGTTCTCCGCCGAATGATTGATTAAAGTGACTTGTTGCAATTACGGCGGAATGATTAACGTGGTCTGTATCGCGTTAGGGCTGCTGGCACGGACGACCCACCCACCGCCGCCAAATCCAACGTCTTATTAACTCCCTTCCAAGCCCCGAAACAAATGGCCGAGCAATTTTCGTTGCCTGGCCAAGAGG